TCGGAGTACAAGTAGGTTCCCGCAATGGTTTGAATGCGGAGATGGTAGAGATAGTTGGGAAGAAGAGAGGGGCGGGGGTGGGGGCAGAGCTTATAGGATATTTGGTTTAATGATTATAAGGTCGGGGGCTTGGGAAGGAAGAGGGAAGACAAGAGGAGAGCTGTGATGTCTTTTGATTATGTGTGATAAATGTGATGAAGACTTTTGAGATTTTTGAATGTGGAGTGTGAGTGTATATAGTTGTTCTTTTTTGATGATCTGGTTTTCAAGGCCTATGAGGAAAGACTTTGGATTCTGGATATTTAGTATGAGGAAGGTTTACTGGTTGTGAAGTTGATGTTTTCCTTATAATAAGATTTACTATATGGATTGATGGTTACTTATTCATCAAATCAAACTAATATATAGTGAAAGTCTGTATAAACCGCGACCTATTAATCTTACAAAATATTCTTCAAATTATGTAGCGGTGTTTTACTTCACTGATGAATTATTTAGATCTACTGGAAATTCGTAAGGACTGAAGATCCCTTTTATACCTACTTCGAGTAGGTATTGAAAAAATGATGTTATTCACAACGTAGATGCTAAAAGAAGAAGCCCGGCTCTTGCTCATGTTTTGGGGAATCCACTACAAAGAAATCTTCGTATGGTATTTAGGAAGATATGGGAGGTATTATATGAGAACAAATTGATGACTCGAAACTTCAAACCAGCAGTTTGCTATTTTTACAACGGCAAACGAGGCTTCCATGATTTCATACTTGCTGCTCGTCTTACTTTTGTATTGTGCTGTTCATGCTTTTCCCCACCACATATTCAGGAGTTTGTGAAGGAGTCATAATTCTCTACTCCGTAGAAGAGGTACATGAAAATCGTACACTTCAATCACAAAGCTCTGAGCTGTCATATCTTCTAAATCGGGAAAATCCTATAAGTTCCACTCCGTAGTATTTGACCCTGCGTGAGATCCACTCATATGTGATTTTCTGTGTGTAGAGGTCCTAGAGGAGTACTGCGGAGAAGAGTAGTCATATCTCCGCGCGCAAATATTTGCGGCAAAATGGAATTTGTCAGAATTCCGATGTAAAAGTGTCCGCCCGCGGACTCTGGATATATCGGATTTTCTTTAGAAATTTGTCACTTTTGTACACAATATAATTTGACTGGAAAATTTTGGTAATCAAACTTTATTGGATGTATTTTTGTTATTTTGGTATAAAAATTAAAGAGAAAAGATTTATCTAGTCGGGTTATAGATATGTTATATAATTTGATATTCACTAATTTCATCAGGTATTACTGGGCACTTTTGATTGTAGATATGACATTGTAATAGCTGACATACACTTGTAGAATGTACTCCAATATCCAAGTCAATTGCCTCAGGAATCACATCTACTCACTTAATAGGCAAAAACAAATGGAAACAGATCCAATAGCTGTTGAGCTTATGTACCTAGGTAAGGATAGTATGTAAGGGACTAAGCTGGCAAAAAGCCTCGGGAGCTAAGCTAAAGTAAGGAATGGACTCTTTCGAATTAGACCATGTAGGATACCAAGAAGGTAGTAATATCATAAACTCATTGGAGAACAATATGCCTTAGATGCATGAATAATCTAGGATCGCAGTTTTGAATACTCCATGAGGAAAAGTTGAAAAAGGATCGGGATGTTGAAAATTCCGGGCTCTAACCCATTGCTGATATTTTCTCAAACTCCCATCAGAATAATAGATAGTAAGGCTGTGTGGTCCAAGCTTATAATGCCCCATCCTTTTACACCGCCAATAAATGTCTGCCTGTGTGTTATGCAGCAGTTGCATTTGACTCTAAACTTGCATCGAAGCGCATCAAACCAGTTGATCCCTCTCGTTCCATCATATCCACATTAAATATACCATTTATATCTTCTCCCGTCTTTCCATATAACCTTTGTGTACTCATTATTACCCCTCTTTCGATATCTATTTAACTATCTATTTATCTACCTATTCATCATGCCTTTCATGTTCAAATCTTCTCCTTCGACCTTTACGTCTTTCCCAACAATGACCGATGTTCAGTTGCCTATCCGTTTGGCTCAGTGTGTTGGAATCACTGCTACATCTGCCCTCGCTGGGGCTTCTCTCAGTATTTCCTTCATCTCTGTTCCAAGATTACTCGAATCACCACCACATCTTCTACTTAAGCAATGGAATAACCTCTATCAACAAGGAAAAGCTTTTTTTCCAACTGCTTCAATCATTCCTGCGGCATCTTTCTTCTTCCTCGCATACAAAGAGACGGATAAACTTAAGTTGAAGTTGTTTGCTACGGCTGGCACCTTGGCCCTAGGGATGATGCCTTACACAATTTTGTTCATGTTGTATACGAACAAAAAATTGTTGGACAAGGCGGATGAGGCACAAGGACTTTACGCCGATCAAGTTGGTGGAGATACTGATGATGTTTCTTCTGGATCTGGTCGTAAACATAAGAAATCTTCCAAGGACCGCGAGAGAAGTGATAGAAGTTACAAGAAGAGTTCGTCAAGCAAGAGAAAGGAAGTTGATGAGCATGAGGATGTTAGAACTGCACATGAATTGGTTGATCATTGGTCATTGTTGAACTTGGGAAGAAGTGCTTTGATGATTGCTAGTGCTGCAGTTGGTACTTGGACTGTGGTTAGATATTCGAAGAACTAAATGGGTCTACGATCTTCTCTACGATTCGATTCAACAACAGACGACCTTGCCATGGGAGATATGGATATAAGAATGAATACGGATCGGTATGAGGATGATGGTTGTGTTACGTGACGGTTGTTATCCCACTAGTGGCTCACGTGCACTAGCCCTGTATATAAAGACCTTCTTACTTAGAATCTTCTTAGTTCTTCAGTTTTAGATTCTAAGTGATTGAATTGACTCCGTTTACGACTTTTCCGTCACAGGTTGTGCGTTCTACGACTTTACATGATACGATGGGATGAAATGAAATATTATATGATATGAATTCAATGATGGAATCGGTTTATGGATAGGGTGAAAATGACGGGTATTATATACCTCAATGGAAAGGAAATGTTCAACCATGGATTTTATATGGGAATTCAAAATCGCGATTATTAGAAACGCAGCCCAACCATTGTTATAGACCATTGGTACAGATCAAATACCAAAAAAATGTGTTTTTTTCAACCTCGGCTTTTGATGTTTGGCAAATTTTATAATAAGTCACACATGAGATGCAGTAAGAGCTTCTTTTCCCTACTCATGAGATGTGAAGAAGGGACAAATCATCACGTCGTAAAATTAATAGCAACAAGCAATGATTTCCCCTTGCATTGTTGACTCATACATATTTATATGGGGCTTTTGCATAATTATCACTACCTAAGGATACTATTTTCCGGAGGTTCTAAGCCGAATACATATTTCTTTTTGTCATAAAAGTTCCAAACATCAATTTGTACCTTGGAACAAATCAGCCATCAATTCGCACCGCCACATATGACGCTGAAGCTTAAGCAGCTTAAGCGGGGGATTTTCAGGGCGATCTGTCTGGGGCAGTGTCGTCATTTCTTTCATAAACTCGATGCTGGTAAAGGATGGGAATTGCTTTAATGGATGGGCATTTCATGAGAGTGTACGTAGGTACTTACCAAGGTTATTATTACTACGACTCAATTCAACGTCACTTGATTGCCTGCAGGCTTTGTGGTTCTTTTTCTTCTTTTTTAAAATAAATAAATAGGAGTTGGTGTTGGGAATGTGTTTTGTTTTTCTTCTTCTTCTTCTTCTTTATACTACTTCATAGGTTACCTTTTTGTAACAATCTATTACGATCGATCTATTGAACTCTACAATCTTCATTCCATTTCTTTTTACATATACACTTCCAATTCATATTCATATTCAATTGAGATACACAACACAAAACCCCAACAAAACACATACATACATAATGCTTGCCTCCAGAACAGCATCAAGAGCTGCGGCTCGCACTCTTCGTGCACCAATGAGACAACAAGCTAGACAAACTAGATTTGTTTCGACGACACAGGCTGAGGGGGCAAAGGCTGGTGGTGCTTCGGGTTTTGCAGCGGGTATTGCTGGTGGTGCTGTTGTTTTGGCCGTAAGTTTTTGATCAGCTTCTTGGTTCTGGTTTTGTGCTTTTGTATATGGACGTCTTTGCGTTTGTGCACGCCTTACAACAATCACATACTAACACAGTTTCTCAGGGATGCTACACTTACTACCAATTCTCTGGCATCAAACCTATGGTCAACGCCTACAGCTCCACGAAATCTCAATTCCAAAAAGCAACCTCAGCAATCTCTGAAAAGGCTCCAGAACCAAATCAAGCCATCAAATGGCTTCGCAGTGCCACTTCTTCCTATGCTGCTTTTATCCCTGGTGCACAATCATTCCTTGATAGTGCATTTGATGATATTGAGAAGGTGCAAGCGAAACATGGCAAGGAAGTCGATGAGATTGTTAATAAAACATATGCGGAACTGAAGGGTATTAGTAAAAAGGGTGGATTTGATATGCAAACTGCCGTGCAGGGTTACAATGTATTGACCAAAGCATTGAGCGAAATTGCCGAGTTGGGAAAAGATAGTTTGGGGGAAATGTTGGATAATCATCCTCAAATCAAGGAGAAGGTTGGGGGAAACCTGGATCAGTTAAAGAGTATGGCTGAGAACTATGGTCCGGATGCAAAGAAAGAGTTGGATGATACGTATAAGAAGGTTTCGGAGATTCTTGCGGGTGGATTGGGCGTTGGCTCGATTGACAAAGTTCGCAAGTTAATCCAGGAGAAGAGTGAAAAGATTCAGAAGCTGGGAGAACAAGCTTGGAATAAGGGGATGGAGGAGTGGAAACCTTATTTGGAGAAGAACCCAAAGGTTAAGGAGATTGTGGAGAAGAATGCTGATGCTCTTAAGTCTGGAAATGTTAAGGAGATTTTCGATCAGATTAAAAAGGCTATTGAGTCAGGAAATACAGATGATCTCCAGAAATACATAAAGGATGCTGGGGAGAAGGCGAAGAATACTGGGTTCGGACAAAATTTTCAACAATATGCTCAGCAAGCTGCGACGATGGCTGGTATCCCTGGATCAGAGAAGATGTGGGAAAAATTGCAACATTTGCAGGAGGTAGCAAAGGATCATGGGGATGAGTTGGAGGGATTGGTTAAGAGTGCTTATGAGGATATAAGCAAGGTTGTGGAGAAGAAGGTTGCAGAGGCCGAAAAATTGAGGGGAAAGGTTGAGAAAGATGTTAAGAAATAAATGGGATGACGTATGGGGAATAGGGGTTATTCATGATTAATGAAAGAACTATTGGGGGTGTATTATAGTGCGGACGGCTTGGCTTGGTTTGGCATGGGATGGTGGGATTTCATAAGGCATAGCATGGAGAACAGAACAGAACGAACAGAATTGAGCAGAATTGAAAACTAAATAGATTTAATTAATCAATATCATATTAATTTTGTATTGAATTGGTCGCTTCATTCAGATGATTGGTTTCATCTTTAGAAATATAATACTCTTCGATATTGTAATTCGAATATGTTTTTTATTTTATTCTTGGGTGGTAAAAGAATCTCCCCCTCGTCGTCATAGCCTTGCGGTATTTTAGCCTGATGGTCTGTGCTCAAGCTTCTTTCCCATGAGGTAACTGCAAGCAGATCAGAATTCAAGTCTTATTTCACATCACATCCATCAACATCACCATGATTTTTCTAGTAATCACCAAATATCTCATTTTATAAATCTCGGTGTCGTCAAATACCAATTAAACTCAATGTCATCATTAGAACAAGATGGTGGAACATGAAGGAATACTTCCCTTCATGGATATCAAGAATTATGATGTCCAAAGCCCACGAGAAAGAGTAGGTGATTGACTATAGCTAACCACTCCTCTCTCATTTGAAGGAAAGGGTTATTGCAACCATACGATCGTTGATTTGCGTACATGTTCATTATTTTTACGGAATGCTAGGCTCCAGTTGAGTTGTGTCATGACTCGAGAAGTGAAGTTGGTTACATGCTAAACTTACATGCAAAAGAGATTGTCATATCTTTCTGGGCCATTCCAATGTTTATTTTGATGGCATACTTACTTGTTATAGTTCTCTGGAAGTGGAATTTCAGTAGAAGCCGGCGACTATCAGCAATTAATCCAGGAACTTCCAAGCAATGCTAGGTCGACTTCCTTAAGTGGCGCGCCTCGACCAGCATTTTGGAGAATGAACCTGGCAGCGCTGTCGCAGAAGTATAACGTGCGTTTATATAATATATTTCTTGGATTCGTGGTACTCATATGATTGCAGATGTACTTGGTGGCATATTTCGATACCATACACATTACGAAACCTCGAACACTCAAGCAAATTATACCCGGTGTACCAGACTTTATTCTTCGGTTACCAGTATCGAAGCATGCAGGTAGTGGATATCTCAATCAAGCTCGCCCGCACTCTGTCAACAATATGATAATTGGCAATTTGGGTAATAAAGAAATATTACTCTTCTGCTGCGATGATGGAGATGTGACGGCATACTACACGGACCTTCTAGCAGAGGAACTTCAACAGGCGGAGCAAAGTACAGCATCATCAATTCCTATTGGCAATACACGACCGTGAGTAACTAACTTTACCTACATGATTTGGTTCTGATCGTCTCAGTTTTTTTCATGAGAACGTCGGAGAGAGTGCTTGGGGTCTTGCTATTCATCAAAAATCGCGCCTCATTGCAGTAAGCTCCAACAAACACGAAGTTACTGTCTTTGTCCATGCCACTTATAGTAATGAGCCTTGCAACTGCGCTGTAATGGGTACTATCCTTGACCCTACCTATGGTGAATTTGTTCGACATGACAATGCCCAGAAAGCTTTTCCCGTCATGGAATGTCATTCAAAAGGTTTGGTCTTTTCAGATGAAGGCCTTTTCTCAGACAGTTTATTCCCCGTGCGACGTCTTATAAGGACCCCTAGCCCTGATGATCCGGTAGCTGAAGGCCTTTTACCAGAAACACCATGTTCTCGTAACTTTAGATTAATTCTTCCGCTTCCAAATTCTCACAATATTCCTGCAATTGCTTTCGCAGATGACAACAATGGCTTAGCTGAATTCATGCTAGCTACCGATATTGGGGGCAGTTTGTGGTCGCTTGAAATATGGCGGGGAGCCGTGAAATTGTTTGGATCAGCCCTTGTTGAGGGATTTCGTTCAATGTAAGTACTCCCTCTGGTAGTCCGGACTACCTTCAGACAATTAAGGTCTTTTGATTTCTGAATCCAGTTGGAATATTCAACTCATTTGAAATACTCAAGTTGCCTTGAATATTGAATTGTTTTCAAGCATTGAAGGCTCACATTTAGTCTGCTAGTTCAGACTATTGGTCACGGTCGCTCCAATGATTGAACTATGATTTCTAACTAACTTAGGGGCTGGGGTGTCATGACTATACCATTGCGATATTTTAGACGATCCCGAAATTTTCAAGATGCTTTAGGTATGGAGGATCTAAATTATGCTTGGCACAAATCCATACACAATAGACCTGGGACTGAGTATTGTATGAACGTTTCTTCATGCTTGAAGCGCCTCGAGCTTGAAGATGAAAAAATTGGCGGTGCGACGGGTATTTCTTTTGGCAGGAGCGATCTCACAAGTCATACAGATGGGACTCAAATCACCAACCCTGAAGACAATTCAGACAATGAACAGGAACAAGATGAGGAGATCGTGCGCAGCAACTCGCCACCAAATAAAATAAAAGGAATAAGCTGTCCTAAAAAAGACAATTCAAGGCCCAAGAGACGACTAGCTTTACAACCCAGTGACTTCATGAAACAGGTTGACGACTTATCACGTTCTGTCGTCAATCCTACCTCCAACCTTAGTGATGGAGCTGCCGTCCTTCGAACTTGGAAAGACAGCATCGAACTCGTTCCCTCATTTTCACACATGCCCCCCACGGTATGCTCGAGTAACTTCTTTAGTCGAGGAGCACTGACAGGCTTTGGCCAAACTTTCCATCAAATATCTAGAACCAACATGATGGCACTAATACCAGAACTATCACTTGTTGTTGTTGCTTCTCAGAATGGTCGAGCGGCTATATTGACGCTTTCGAAAGTGGGACTGATTTCTACCCCCGCTTTCGTTCCTGCTTTCCGCGTTGAAGCTCTCCTTCCGCCTGAAAAGTTCTATGAAAAATATCTCAAAAATGATCAGAGAGAAAAATCCCCACTTCTTGGAATGGCCGTGTCTCCCATACAGAACGGAAGCGGGATCAAATTAGAGGCTGGAGCATATCCGAGGAGGTGGAGGCTTATTATGCAAAGCTATGATCATACGATTTGACGTTTGAATTGAGTAGGGATGGAGATAATAATTTGCGTGTTTTTTAAGCTTTCGCGAAGTACGTGTATAGGCAACCTTTGGAGTAGGTGCTTTTTCT